AACTTTGTAAAGTAGGGCTGGTGGTTGGACTCGATGATCCCAAGGGTCTTTTCCAACCTGAATGATTCTGTGATTCTGTGATTCTGTGACTGAATGAGGAAATTCAAGCAGCAATTTCTGTCATCAGAGAAGGGAGATTTCTAGGAACTGGCTTTCCCTTACTTCATAGAGAGCCTGCAATCCCAAGATAGTGCTGACTCAACAGGGTGTGAGAAACTGAAAATGCAGCAGCTGTAATTGCTTGAGAAGTCCTTCCGTATCCGTGAATGCTAAAAATTGAACTTCACATTCCAGTGGCAGTTCTGAATAAGTCACTCAATAAAGTGTTTAGATTCTATACGAGCAAATTATACTGGGCAAACAGTAATTGAAGATTCTCAAGCACAAACTTTGTAATTAATCTCCTTTTCAAAATTGATAGGTCCAAGTATTCTGAATCTTTTTAAACAAGGTAGTCAAAGAACAACACTGCCTTTTCTTTTTCGTTTCTGTTTTTTTTTTTTTTTTTCATTTCTGGTTGCTTCTAGGCAACCCACTTCTGGGTAAATACAAATACACTACGCTCCCCTAAATATCACAAGTATTTTTTGTCCTTGGTTTTCTGTTTCATTAGATAGCTTCCTGAGATGTTAATCCTCCAGGCAAGGAAGATGAACATGAGCAATCTACTGCCTTTGAATCAATTTCTGTCTATGAAAAAGTGTAGGTGTGCTTTGCTCTCAGTAAGTACCACTAGTGCACTTCTGAAATACAGAACGGATCAGGACCCAGAGATGGTCATAACGCATGCTAATATGCATGGATACCTGGGACCACGCGGGACTCAGCTTTTTCCATAATGCAGGACACTATGTACCTTGTTACAGGATTATTGATGGAATACTGTGAGGTAAGAGCGAAAGCTCTTAGATATAATGGAGTTAAGGCGTTTGATACCAGTATTGAATACTGATAATTTTCCTGGAGGGATGCAGTAGTAGCAGCAGTACTTGAATTTGTAGTACCCCGAAGAAGTCAGAACTTTATCTATTGGCACTTTTAATGGATTTCAAATATTAGTGCTTATTATTTATTAATCAGCATGGATTCTCTTCTTCAAATTTGTGCATGGATATAGTTTGTGAAGGAGGGAAGATGCAACTCAGACTCCTTTTTCTACAGAGTTTATGAAAAGGCCTGTCTTTAAATCTGTGAGAGAGGTAAAGAAGCTTGGCACTGTTGTACTAGATCTCCTTGGAGAGAAAGGCTCCATCAGCAAGCTTTGAAGCTGTTAGTGACATTCTTAACCCTGCAGAAAGGTCAGATAAAGATATGTGTGCAAAAAGCTCTGTTGATACCAGACAATCACCACTCAGATCTGTGAAGTTAAAGGAAAGTAAATATGATATTTTATTGCCCCCAGACTCACTGGACATGTAGGTCTCTTGATTCTGTAGGTATGCCTTTATCAGGAATAGATACCTTGTGGTGCTTCCCTCTGGTGATTTATGAACTTGTTAATTGTGTATGAAAAGCCTGAGGGTTATCAGTGGTTCACCACCAAATTTAAGAGCTGATTGCTTTTCAGTAAAGCCTAAAAAGTATCCCACATTTTGAGGCTCATGCAAAAACTTAGACCTTTTTAGAAGAGGGAATGATGTTTGAGTGTCTGAATTGTAACTATTAACTGTCACACTCTACCAATGTAGACAAATGCTTTTGTGTTTCACTAGTATTGTCAGAACATAGCAGTTCCTGTGTCTGATACCTGACACCTTGAGAAGCACAGAAAACCAGGACAGGCATGTAATGGTACCTCTGCAGCACCCTCCCCAATGTCCAGTGGCTTCAACCCTAAGATGTCCTGAGCCAGTTTGGGGTAGGTTTTGGTTTTTTGGGTTTTTGTTCCATAAAACAGCCCTTACAGGTTTTCTTCCATTAATTTGTTTAACTGCTTTTTGTGTCAAGTACAATTTTAGAATCTACAGCAGCTGCTGTCTGAAAACTCATCTACACATTCTGTGTAGAAGTACCCATCTTGGCCCTTTTGAACTTGTCACCTGGTATTTTTGCCTTTGATGAAGCAGATGAAGCCTGAGTATACTGGTTCAGACTGAATTTTTAAATTTCATAACCAAACAATGTCTGGATAACAAATTACCTCTGTTTACAACAGCTACTGAGATTCCTCAGAGTCGACAACTTTTTATAGAGTATCAGCATGAAATTTATATATGTGAATGGAGTGAACAAAAAAAAAAAAAAGCAATTTTAAGCTTCTTCTCTCAAGAAAAAAGTCTATGCATTTGCACTGTGCATCTATAATTCATCCCATCCTTAGTAATTTCTGCCCTTGTTGGCCTATATTAACTCCTTTGTCTGAGCTGAAGCAGTGTCAAAATCAATTAAATATATATACACCATAAATCAACGTTTTGGTAGAGTCCAAAGTTAATCACTACTTTGAGGAAAAATATCAGTATAACCTCAACATTTATTTAGCCTGTCTGGCTTGCCATTA